CAGCAGGATGGACACTGTGCCACGGTACAGCTCACGCATACCATTCTCCCGCACCAGGGTCCGGAATGCATGGAAAGTGTTTGTATACCGGACGTGGTGCCGCTGGTCCTGGAGGAGCGTCTGGACCCTCTCAAAGGGGGTCAGACTTGCCTCCACCGTGCCTGCCAACACGGCCGCCATGCTGCTGGTCACGTTGCTTTACGTACGAATTTTAATTAATTTTTGAATGTTCGAATGTATCCGTATAATGATTATACGGATACATTAGAACATTCAAAAATTAATTAAAATTCGTACGTAAAGCAACGTGACCAGCAGCATGGCGGCCGTGTTGGCAGGCACGGTGGAGGCAAGTCTGACCCCCTTTGAGAGGGTCCAGACGCTCCTCCAGGACCAGCGGCACCACGTCCGGTATACAAACACTTTCCATGCATTCCGGACCCTGGTGCGGGAGAATGGTATGCGTGAGCTGTACCGTGGCACAGTGTCCATCCTGCTGCGCAACGGGCCCAGCAACGCGGTATCCATCGGCCTCCGCGAGCCCATCAAGAGCAGCTTGCCTCAGGCTGAGACCCACGTTGGCCAGCAGGTCACTGACTTTATCTCTAGCGGCCTTCTGGGAGCCACGCTGGGCTCCTTGTATTACCCACTGAATGTGGTGAAGGCTCGCAAGCAGTCGCAGGTGGGTGGAGCCTTCCAATCCACGTGGCAGGTACTGCGCACCATCTGCAGCGAGCGGGGTGGTAAATTGAGCCACCTATACCGAGGGGCGCATCTGAACTACCACCGCTCCCTCCTGTCTTGGGGCATCACCAACGCTGCCTACGAGCTTTTAACGAAGGTCAAGTGAACTTCTGGAAAGTCGGGCGAGCCTCTCTTTTTATTATTATTTAAAAATTTAAAAAAAAAACGTCGTTCTGGAACTATGACGTAAAAATCACAATCGTGCCACTATATAAATAGCCAACTGACCTCAACCGACCACTGTCGACATTTGAGCACAGGCGATAATTCATCTGAAAAAGTTACCTGAGCTAACGAAGGTGACATATCTACGTCCAGCTTCTAGGTAAGGCAGTTTGCTAAGTAAACTATTAAATGGAGAGGTTTATAAAGTATCGCTCGAACTCTTTTGAGGGACTTTGCTGTGTTGCAACGGCGCTATGTCAAAATAATGGGAAGAATACTGTCTCCGGAGATGATCGCTTCTGATTACAATTCTCTCCGGATTGACTCCTTGACAATATCGCCAAACACAGGATATTAGATAATTTAATATTTCCCAGTTTACCGACGTGTAGGATGAGGGCTCGGTGCTCGGAGCTGGCCTGACAAAACGTGAAAGAGAAGGCCGTTCTGTAAGGTGGTGGGATGGCCAGCGCCGGCGAAAATGTGCTCTTAAAGCACTTAAAGTGCGCACAAAGCCAGCAACTTTACGCCTTCAAACGCTGCTGTGCCCCCCCCAGTTCGTGTCAGGAATAGGTGTGCGCATTCCAGCAATGGCAGCAATCATGTATAGGTGTAGGACAACATGACAATAGGGACAACCCCTAATCCATAAGGGTTGTTTTTGTGCTTCTGTTGGTATATTTGGTTTTCTTTTAACTAGTACAGCTTGAGAGTACATATGAAACCCTTATTCTTATGAATTCTCTCCTTTGCAGTATCAAAGCACTGAAAATTTGTCCCCCTTAACTGAGCTGGCATCGAAAGAGCAAGGGAGTCCCGAGTGTGAGGCACCAAACGGGCGTAGGAAGCAGTACGTCTGCGGCGGCTGTGCTGGGATGCTTAACATCATGATCACCTTCCCAATACATAAAGTACTATTCCGGCAGCAGCTGTTTGGTGTGAGCACGACTGAGGCC